TTGAAAATTACGTGTTCAAATAATTGTTCTCACTGGCGATCGTTTCAAATAAAGAGCTTTGCTTGCTGTGAAAGGATTAATGAATGGAATTCATTGCAAGACGGCAAAAATGTAGCATTAGCAGTTTCTTCATCAGTGGGTGATGTGGGGAACGTCATTGAGGAAGTGTACAATAGCTGAATTTTCTGGACCTTGTTTGGTTTACCGTAACCGTTCCATAGATAGAAAAACTATCCTGCTTGTTCCCTAGATCTTTGTGCATTTTTCCGATAGAGTGACGGATTCGTGGCTAGAGGAATCTCTATGACAACCTTTCCGGCATTTTAATTTACAGTCTAATAGCCCAATTTATTGTTAATTACTTTGATTGATTATAGAAATAATACTATTTCATATTCAGTTCATGAATTGAAATTCCTAAAACTATCGTCTTCATTTCAACTTCGCAGCTATGAGGAAAAACCATATTTCGATAACGACTAGACCTGCATAAGTTGTTGTAAGCTGACAAGATTTAGAAAGAGCATCAGAACCAAGGATAGATAATCCGCAGACTTACCTCTACATCTAATCCCTTCTATCCATTGATCTGATATCCTCAATGAGATAAATATTCGAACATAATAAATGTTCTTTTTATTGTTTCTGGAATGATTATCAACGCCATATTTGTTCCCTTCAAATGTTTCTGAGGCAAAAAATTCTTATAAATACATTCATTTCTGCGCTAGTCTAGCAACCGCAACAAGTGCACAACTTGTCAATATTTCTCTCTTCTACATATATCGGCTTCTAAGAATATGTTCCAGTTTTCTTAAGGCCTTATAACATTTATGAATCTAACTTAGTTGGGCTTTATTCTATGGGTATACGTGATAAAAAAGAAGGCAAGTGCGCTGGAACCAACTTCGATTCTTATAGGTATAATAAATCTTTCAGAGCAATGCATGTTTCTGACGAAATTGGGTCTTCATCTCTTTTCTCAATTTCGTTTCTCATTTCAAAATAAGGAGTGGTCATGCCCATGGGTAGCTCTCTCATTTTTCTTTATTCCTTGCTTTTCATCCAATGTCCATTCGTTCTAAATCGTCAAACTTCATATCATTATCTACCTATTCATTAAGCATAACAGTGCTGCCCAGGGGAGTTTCAGTAGATGTGCTTTTTTTCATTTTGCCTCTTTTATGATAATCATATGGGAGCCAATTTTTATTTTGACAATTTCCTTATAATCTGTATCTTCTCTTTCAAATAAAAGTGCAAAAACTTATTTATTAAGCCATTTGCATAAATCATTAATCTATAAATCTGAGAAGGGGGGACGGTAATGCACAGATGGTTTTCAGCAGAAGGAACTCTCATTTTCCTCAATTTCTCAACCCTGCGTACCCCAATCGTACAAATTCCAGCTAATTAGTACAGAGGACAGACAATAAGAACATTTTTGACGGATTGATTATTAGATTGCCGAGCTCAAGCAGTTCTTCATTAGACAGCATCATCTTTACTCCGCTACACTTTTTTCTATGCAGTGATCCATTAGTTAGAATATGCATGTATTAAGCTCTACTACAACACCTGATAACTAAACTAATTAGTGTCGTCGGCTGCTTTCACGATCTGCGCTCGATGCATCTCACAAGTTATTATGGTGAGAAGAATCCTTATTTAGGTTGAGAACAACTTCTGTCATTCGGAATTTAGCTATTGTCACTTCTTTTTGCCTTCCTACACATCTTCAATTTTCTAAAAGTAAATGTAGTTGTTGAATCATGAATTGCCATTGTATTTTCGCTTATCGTTCAACTAA